CAGATTAATTAAAACTTAATGTTATTTTAATATGTCAGTCTTAAAAAATTCTTATTTTGACTGTTAAGATAAAACTGAGTGTTCTAATAATTTGATGACATTTTACATATATTTACAGTATAGAACACTGTTTCCATAGAATATCTGTTATATTTGAGGGTATAAAACTCAAAATGAGATAAAATCATGTGCCAATAATGAATATATTTTACATGTCTTTGTAAAACATTTTTACAAAAATATATTCTAATTGAGACATTAGTAAGGTCTTTGCATATGTGATATCTCACTTTGCAGTGCATCTTAACATAAAAATACGTAGTTTATGTGGAAAATAATGAACAATTTTTAAACATATACAGCAAATTTGTAATGCTATTATTTATAGAAAATGGTTATATTAGTTTTATTTTGTAATCTTCCTCTGAAGTACAACTTTTAAAACTTGTTTTGGGGTAATATTTTTGCATTTAGCTTTCTTATTTCCATTAGTATCTCAAAGGATAATACACATTGCTACTGTAACATGTTATTATTATAAGGAATATAATATGCTTCCTACACAATTAGAATTGAACAGTCATGGAATTTTCTTCAATTAGTAAGTTTTCAAGGAAAAAAGATAGAAATATCTTCTTTTAGCAGTGCTACCACACTCCATTGTCTGTCTGGTTTTAGGCTTGATCTTGAATGATGTCAGGGGGATACGTCGAGTGATGGAGAGTGACAGAGAAAGAGAAGGGTGGTAATTGATCTCTTTGGGATTGGGACTGCTGATAGTCCCAGAAGATAAAGCACAAATAGGCTGATCTTTTCTATCTAGGGTTTAAGCTAGAATGACTTTTCTCTTTTAGAGCAAAGCTTAGAATTTTGTTGTTACTATATCCTTTTGGATATTTTTCCTTTGGCTATTACGTTTTCACTTTCTTCCCCCTTTATTTTAAATTTGGGTTCCAGTGCATTTTAAAGTGCTTTAGTTTTATATAGTTACTTTCAGTTAAGACAGGAGGTTATCTGATACTTTTGGAGAAGAAAGACAAGACAAAACCTTCATTTACTTAGAATGAATTACATAAACGTCCAATCATGTTGCCTATTGAATTCTGAATTTGAATGTTCAATATTTTATTGAATTTGAATGTTCAATACTTTATTATATATGAAATATATTTAAAACATTTTGACTTTAATTATACTAGTTAGTGTTTTAAAACATTTCCATTGCATAATTTGCTTGTGAATTACTAATTTTGCTATGTTGTTGTTATGTGCCATCAAGTTAGCCCCGACTCATAGTGGCCTGTCCTTGGGTTTCCGAGGCAGTATCACTACGGAAGTAGATTGCCCAGTCTTCCTTCTGAGGAGTAGGTTTGAACCGCCAGCCTTCTGGTTAGCAGTCAAGTGCCTTAGGCACTATACTACCAGAGCTCCTAGTTTTGCTATAGCATTTTTTTAAAAAATTATTTTGTTTTTATTGTTGAGAATATACACGGCAAAACATAAACCAATTGAACAGTTTCTGCATGTACCATTTAATGACATTGATTACATTCTTTGATTTGTGCATCCATTCTCACCTTTCTCTTCTGAGTTGTTCTTCCTCATTGACATAAATTCACTGCCCTCTGAGATTTCTTTCTAAACTTTCAAATTGTTCTGTCAATTTGATCCCATATAGATAGTTCTTAAAAAGAGGAGCATAATGCTCACAGCAGATGTTTTTAATTAGGTAAGCTAAACTATTACTTGGTTTTAAGAAACTTCAAGAAAATTTTTGGTTTAAGGTTTAAAGATCGTCTTAGGGCAGTAATATCAGGGATTCATCTAACCTTCATGGCTTCAAAAAGTATGGAGTCTGTGAGAATTTGAAATTCTGTTTTGCATTTTCCCTCTTTTAATTAGGATTCTTCCATAGAATTTTTGATCAAATTGTTCAGTAATGGTAGCTGGGCACCATCCAGTTCTTCTAGTCTCGTGGCAAAAGAGGCAGTTGTCCATGGAGGGAATTTGCTATACATTCTATATCCTTCTTCTGTTCCTGACTCTATTTCTTCCTCTGTTGATCCTGGTGAATAGAGACCAGTTGTTGTGCCTTGGATGGCTACTTATAAGCTTTTAAGATTCCAGACACTGTGCAACAAACTAGGAAATAAAACAGTAGCACTAAATGTGTTATTAGGCCAATTAACTGGGATTTCCAATGAAACCATGACCCTAAACCTCCAAATCAGGGAACCAAATCCCATGAGCTACTTGATTTTACATAAGCAGCCTCAGAAGTTACTCTTTTATTTTTATTTTTTTGTCATTGTTGTAAATATATCACACAGCTTTTGCCCATTCAATATTTTACAGGTGTTTAAGTTTCTGCGTCTCTACTTTCAAGTCTTTTGGGTATATACTTAGGAGTGGAATTGCTGACTTACAGAGCCATTCTTCTAGTTTCATTTTTTTGAGGAACTATCCCACCTACTGTTTGCCACAATGGCTGTACCATTTTGCATTCCTACCAGCAACGAGTAAGGGTTCCAGTTTTCTGCCGCTATTTGTTATTTTCCAATCATAGCTGGCATGTTATTTGCCACTGAGTTGGTTCTGATTCATAGTGACCCCACGTAATGACAGAATGAAACACTGCCTAGTTCTGTGCTGTCCTAGTGGGAGTGATATGGTATCTTATTGTAGTTTTGACTTGTACCTCTCTGATGGTTAATGACACTGAGCATCTTTTCATGTGTTTTGATTTCCTGTTTGGTGAAATGTCATTCAAGTCCTTTGCCCATTTTGTTATACTTATTTTTGAGTTGTAGAGAAGAATAGGGGAATAGACATGTGTTTTAAAATCAAACTTGAGTTTTGTTTTATTCCTAATTAATACATATTAGCTATGTGGTCTTGATGCTTGGCTTCCTTAGCTGAAAACTGAAAAATACAGATACTTTTCTTTGGTAGTTGTTAGTGATTTACATGACATAAGTTCCTGACTCTGGCAGGTAGGTAAGTTCTCTTACACTGTGTGCCACCTTATCTCTACTATTAAGAGTTTATTTCCTTGGTAAAAGAAAGGTCCCAGAGTAACCTTTGAAAAGTTTATATTTATGATAATAAAATAAGAGAGAAGTAAAAAGGAATATGGAGAGAAAGAAATAATAGAAGAATGTGAATAAAAGCACATATAAAGCACTTCTTTAGATAAAGCAGTTATTTGGAAATGAGGTGATGTCTTTCAACTTACATTGTTGTGCTATTTTAGGTCTACTGAAAGAGCTTTTGTTTTGTTTTCAGTTGTTTGTTTAAATAACCTTTTGGCTCACTTGAGTGATTTTTGCCTGTAAAACTTTTCCAGTATTTCTACTCTTTGCCCTTTTTACTTTTTTCTTAAATTGTCCCCAAGTCAGTAAAGGGGAAGTATGTAGCTATCTTCGCAGTAAATTGGGAGATGACTCATACATGTTTCTATGACAGTAATGGTTATAATGGCAGTATGATGAGCTCCCCACACAGTAACTTGGCCCAGTGAGTCTCTGAGGAGCTGCTTACATTGTTAGATGGCAACATGGAAGTTTATGGCCATTGTTCATTATGTCATGTGTTATATTTTTACTGTTGCCAGTGTGATACTACAGCAGTGGTAGTTTTGGTTACTCTGGTAATGTACTTTGGAAACAGCATAGTGCAGATTTCTGAGACTGTGGCTTGTATTAAGGTGATATTTAGGGTGTGTATGTGTGAGAGAGACAGACAGACAGACAGACAGACTGACTTACTAAGAAATGCTTCAGGTCTTTGATTTCAAGGAAACCTTTTTAGTTTTTTAATTTTATAGTTGTAAAAGGAAAAGAAGACCTTTTAAAATTTTGCCATAATATTAAGGTTTGTGAAATTCTCCTGATACAGGGTTATAAAAGTTTGTATGGTTTCCCTATTTAATCTACCATTATGTAATGAGCAAGTTTTGAAAAAGAGAACAAAAACGAAAGTCCAGAAATTGGTTTTCTTTTCCTTGATTTGATTACTTACTGTGTGTTTTGTTAAATTACCTTTGTTTTGGTGTATAGCATAAAAATCATATCTTTTCCAGGCATATTGTAGATGTGTTATATAGAGCATAATGAAAACCACATGCATTCAGGATGTTCGTATGTTGAGTCCTTTGATTTTTAGAAAATGACTAGAATACTCTTCAAGTGGTGTTCAAATCATCTACCATGGATTAATTGCTTTGTTTGCAGATTATTGTAGCCATGTGAAATTTAATTAAAAACTTTTTCTTTATTATTTAAAATTCATTTATTTCATTTTTAATTTTATTTTTTGGGATTTTTTTAAATTTAAATTTTGTTTTATACTTATGAAAGAAACTATTTGGTTCCAAAGTGAAATCACCAAAGCAAGGTATATTTAGAGAAGTCTAGCATCTCTCGCTCTCTGTCCTCTATCCTGCTCCTTCCCTCATTCTCCTTGTGTGGATAACAATGCTAAAAAAAAATTAAACTAGGTATCATTCCATTGTTAAATTAGCATCCACCTTTGCTTTTGAGATAAGTTGTACCATACTCTATACGTATAATTTTCTACTGTGCACCCTTTTTACATCTTGCCTTTTCACTGATCCCTTTCATCACCCCTGGGACATATATTGCCCAGCAACGTTTTCAGCCTCTCAAGTTTCTTGGGAAGCTCCTGTCCCAGTTGTAGTAAGTATTACTGCCTATATAACTGTAGTGTATATGGTGGGAGCCCGTATAACTATGTGAATCTGAACAAACGTGCTTCACCCCACCAATCCTATGACCAGAGTCCATTTTGGACATATATATCCCACATAATTATATCAAAATTTATATTATCTAAAAAAAAAAAA